ACCAACCAAAACTGGCCACACTGGAAGAAGGCACTGTCGTAGGTGGCAGAGCTGGCCCCAGAGCATGGTGGTGCTGCCATGCCAGAACTCTAAATCGGCCTCAGAAAAATTTTAAACCCTTTTTTGGCCATTTCTCGAGTATTTCTAAGATATGTAACGCGTGTTTTTTACTTTCATATAAAAACCAAAGAAATCAGGGAACCAAACACTATTGGGAAGTATAGTAAAAAAGCTGGTGTTTCGAACACCAATCCGTGGTAAGAATCCATCATCTTTTTTTTCTATTACAATTAATTAAAGTCTAAAAATAATAATACTAATAATAATAAATGGTGAATTTTGTAAATATTGACAACCCCTGATTAATTAAATATAGATCACTGATGGAGGCAGTAACTGATCAGTATGTAATTGTCCTATTTTATCTGTACTACTTATTTATACTGTTGTTTGCTTACCGCTACTTCATGCATTTTAATTCATTATCTTTTAATTGCTTTCTCGCTAATTAGTCTACTCAACCATTATATCCCTATCAGTTAATTGGTTTGAATGAATGTCTTGATTTTGCCTTCTTTGATTACCGAGTATTAAATTATATTGTCTATTTAATTATCACCTTATTGTCCTGTAATTATTAAATGAAATTATCATACGGAATTAGTGGCTAAATGGTGATATGAACATGTATGTATTGGTTAATGTTATTAAATTAAAAAACTTATCGAGTGTTATGGCAAATAGTGTATGAATCCAGTACATAAGGCAAACCCTATTGTGGATATTACTTTCAGTCGAACAGGCTGAGAAGTCCTATACCGAAAGGGGTTGGGAAGTACTTTGTTCACACTTATACCGGATGAGATATTGAGACAGTGGTATGTTTGGTGCCCATTACTGGACAAGGTATGAGGACAGCCGGTTGATCAATAGATTGAATATTGGGTCAACATGTAATGGAAATCCCTATAAACCCCCAACAGCATCGATAAGTAAGTAAAAATATAAAGTTTGATTATTGTTAGTTTTTTAGAGTGTATAATGTATTACTATCTTGATTATTTCCTTCATAAGTAGTATTTTAGAACTTAAGAGGTGAGTATAAAATTAACGTAAATTTAATAAATTTACCTAAAAAGAAAAAATAGTTCAATTAGTTGTTTTGTAATTTTTACCAACCTTTGATTTTCCGTATCAGTAGTAAAATGTTAATATTCTTACTGGGCTAGTATAGCTCATCTCCATTTATTAACTATTTCAGATTATAACGACCAAGATCTGGATCCTGAGTAGCAAGAAAGTTAGCAATTAGAGGTTGCCTCTTATTTTCTATCAGAGTTGTACAGCAGAGATCGACCCATTAGGTCTTCAGTTTGCATTTCTCTTTCCTTTACGATTTTAATTTTCTCAAGGGACATTCCCATAGCCCTATTATGCATTTGATTAAATTGTGCAAGAAATATAAACCCTAAATTCTTAATTACTTCCACTAATATCCTATAAATCTCAATATTATTATTCAATTAAATTTTGGGTCTTTATAAGGCTTCTATAATGCAAGGGCATTCCTGAAGACTTCCCTTGACACACGACATTCTCTTGAATTTGAAATGAAAATCAAAAGCTTTTATCATGCAAAGGCTTCGTGCACGACATTTTTCCTAGAATTGTAATGAAGGGAGAGTTTTGTTATACAAGGGCACTCTCGAAAACTTCCCTTCACACATGATATTCCTCATGGATTTGGAATGAAGATAGGAGGTTTATATCATGCAAGTGCACCTCCAAATACTTTCCTTCATCCACGACATTCCTCCTGGAATTGGAATGAAAAAGGAGGCTTGTGTTATGTAAAGGTGCTCCCAAAGACTTTCCTTCACACAAAACATTTCCCATAGATTTATATTGAAGAATGGAGGCTTCTATCATGTGAGGGCACTTCCGAAGACTTCCCTTCACGCACGACATTCCCCATAAAATTCGAATAAAGAAGGGAGGCTTATGTTATGCAATAGTACTTCCGAAGACTTCCCTTCACACGTGAAATTCTCCATAAATTTAGAATGAAGAATGGAGACTTCTGTCATGTAAGGGCATTTTCAAAGACTTCCCTTCACGAGCAATATTTCCGTTGGAATTGGAATGAAGAAGGTACATTTTTGTTATGCAAGAGCGCTCCCAAAAACTTCCCTTCATGCATTAAATTCCTTGTGGATTTGGAAAGAATAAGGGAGGTTTCTATAATATAAGGGCACTTCTAAAGACTTCCTTTCACGCGCGACATTCCCCTAGAATTTGAATGAAAAAGGGAGGCTTCTACTATGTAAGGGCACTCTTAAAGACTTACCTTCATGTGCGACATTTTTCGTGGATTTGGAATGAAAGAAGGAGGTTTTTATTTTGTAGCTACGATTTTTATATAAAACAACATTATTTTAAGCATTAGATATTTAATGGAAACACATACTAGAGAAACTACCATCCGATCAATAATTGCAGCATAGGGCATGAGAACATTAACCCTTGTAACCCTCCAAACCAATGCATCAAGATACTCATAGCTCTCCTCAATGACAGATACACTATCAACCCTTGTAAACTTCACATACAAGTGCAGAAAATGGGTAAAAACAAGGGAAAACAAGAGAAATGACAATAAATAAGCAGATCCATTTTGATGAGAAAATAAGAATACCATATTTTAGCAAACTTGATACCAACAATACTGCAGATCCTCATGATGAAGAAATAGGTCCTCTTTATTCCTCTCCTTTAGATTACGGTGTGCACAACTCCAAGGAGACAACCCCATAACTTAATGGTCTTATTATATAGCCAGCCTTTTGAAATTACTTGTTAATGTCTTCGTTATTGTGTGTTTTTCTGTTTTGAGTTTATTATTTTATAGGTATAAATTGAAAACTTTGTTTAAAATTTATATTTAGTAGAATGAATTTAAATGAGTGGTGATAAATAATCTAATATTTATTTACTATTTTAATTTTTTGTAATGTTTTATCTTGTAAATATATTTTTCAACTAAATACATTTAAAAAAACATTATAATCATTTATTAGATAATTATAGTTCGCAAACTAAAGTTGGAAGCTAACTATAGTTAATAGATTAGTTAAACAAACTAATTGTAGTTAGTTATAATTACTTTGTAATTGCCATATTAGTTATTAATTGAGCTCACTAATTTTATGTATATGAATATTGGAAAATAATTAATGAGAAGTAGTCTTTCCCAAGTCAAACGACTCTTTCTCTTTCTCTCTCTCGTTTACTTTGCTCTCCTCATACACTCTTCAGATTCTTCTTCTTAGAGCTTAAGAAATCAAATCTCTCCTTAAGATTTCTTACAATATCTAAGTTAATTCTTGTTATTTTAGTTATGTAGTCATATTATTTCAACCAAATACAATAAGAAAAATATTTTAGTCATTTATTAGAATAAATGATCTACAATTCCAAGTTCACAAAAGAATTTGCTATCACTTGGACAATCATTTTGGCAAGATTTATAAGAGTAAAGTTGTTCCAATATAAATCATTATCAAATTTGTCAGCCATAAATATCTCAATAATATGAAATCTCTTAACAAACAACATATGTAAGTATCATGAAAAAAATGAATTTTTTTAACAATTTTAGGATAAAATCAATCAAACACTTGTTCTCTCTAGAATTCCCCTATCCATCTTCTTCTTCCTCTCCCTCTCTTCATGTTTTCTTCTTCTTCTTCTCCATTTCGGCATTCCTTTTGCGGCCATGTTGATCACTCTACTATCCCTTTTTCTACGATCCTCCACAATGGTAACCTTCAGTTGAAGAGGGCAACTAGGACTGCAATTTTTAGATAAATTGGTGTAGGATATATGATACAGGACCTGTAAAGCACACTATGAAACCAAATTGCCTCTTAGCTAAATAGAACATCATAGAGAATTTATCTTAAATGAAAAATAACGTTTCCAACCAAAGGTCATTCCAAAAGTCAATTCCTATTAGAAATGAAATCCCCCCCCCCCCCCCCACACACTCACATTTCTAGTCTATTTTTAATAATTCTTCCAAAAATTCCTGCGTTAGAAAACTATTCATGTTATATCCATAAATGAGAGGAATCACATTCGTACAATATGCAATTTTTTTTTTCTTTCCAACCTATACATTTATTTATTCAAAACATTCCTATTTATGTATCTTAATTATCATGCAATTTTCTTTAATATTCTTATTTTTAAGATATATAAGTAATTCACTTATATATATTTAAAATATAAAGAAATTCCATTTTTTTTATTTTCTTTATAATTATGATCAAAATTACTTTTCAAAAGATTAATAATCTAGTCTTTTTAAAATAGCTATAGATTCAAGTAGAGTTAAATACTTTTTAAGTTATTATATATAATAAATTTTTATTGTGATGGGAGGATAAAATGCTTTAGAGTTAAAAAGATATTATAAATTTTGATAATATTTATCGATTAACTTTAACTTAATTTTTTTAACATAAGCGGATATATTTTTATTTTTATTATTATAATATTTTAAAAAACATAAATATAATTTTTAAAAAAATAATAATAATGTGAAACGAAAATTTATTTTGTGTGCATGCAAGAAAAAGAAGAAGAAACTTTGGAGTTTAGCAATGCCAAAGAAATGAAGGAAATTATATTCTTTATATAAATATTGTGTGACCAATTTTTTTATATTTTTTAACATCCATATTAATTGGAAATTGTGTTATTATTGGTGATTAATTGTAACAGATATATATATTTTTTTTTTTTTTTACAAAATTTAACAAGAATATTAAGGGTCTTGTATTTTTTAAAAAAAAAATGTGTATGCAATAATTAAAGGATTAAAAAAATAAAATATCATAATATATTTTAAATATTAAATCATTTTAAATTTTTTTTTAAAAAAAAGTGAAACCCTAGTAATTTTTTTAGGGACCGTGTGAATTTATTTGCACACCTGGAAGACAATAGCTACCAACCCAGGCGTGTAAAGTTCAGATCGGGTCATTTTCGGTAACTCGAATTCAAGGGAAGCTGGTCCAGCAAAAGACATTTGAATTGTGAGAGAAGTTTGTTTTCACCAAACATTTAAAGCCAGAGACAGAGAGATCTGAAAGGGAAAACCCAAGAAAATCAAAGCAGAAGTACTGCAAACTGCAACAGCGGTGTAGAAACGTTCCGAGCAGACTATTAGTAGTATCGTATCTGATTTGCAAAGCTTACCGGTAATTTTTTATACTTTCATGCAAGTCTCTTTCGTTTCAGATTTCTGCGTACTTCTTCATCCGGGTTCTGTTTCTGTTTCTGTTTTTCCTTTTCTTTCTGTTGGGTTCTTTCTTTCCTGCCATTTCCTGGGATATCGAATAAGAATCTGGTTTTGTCAGAATCTTGTGCTGCTATAGACCTTCCTCAATGGAGATAGTTTTGTTTCCTGAGTTTAGTAAATTCTATGTTTTCTTCTAACGACCATGGCATGTCAGATCCAGAACTTTGTACGAATTGTGAATAATCTTTTTGTTTTTGTTGGTAACTTGTGCATTATATAATTTTTTTTTTTTTACCAAATGTACATATTTGAAGTTCTATGGACGTTGTTTTGCGTTTGATTTCGTCTTTGAATGTTTGGGAAAATGTTTTTAATGCATTGGTCATTTAGCTAGTAAAATGTCCGGATTGTTTTTATCTTGATTATGGTGCTTTTTTTTTAAATAATATCTTGATTATGGTGTTAGAGATTTGCATTGATGTGAAAGTATAAATGTGAATCGTTTTCTTGGTTTTTCTACTGCAGTAAATTTGATGGAAGCCTTGTTGAGTTCACGAATCATTCCGATTCGGGCTTCTTATAGACGATATTGTTCTCCTTCCTTTCCTGCATTATCCCTGAGATTGAATCAAAGTTCTCATTCAGGTCGAGTTGGGATGATGAAACATCCCAAATCATTGAATTCAGTTGCTGCTTCAGTTAAACCTTTGGAGTCCATTTTGGGGCATATTGACAACACGGTACCTTCTAAAGGTTGTATAGTTAATAACCCGTCAGTTTTAGTCTCTCTACAAGGCATCCAAAAGGGGAAATTTCTTAGTTTTAGAATTTATAGTGAATGAACTTGGTTAGCCAGCTGTTTGTTTGGGAACTTGGCTTTAAATTTAGACTTCTAAATGAAAAAAACTAATTTTAGGCTAGTGTTTATTGTTTTTCCAATTGTTTTACAATCATGTTGCCGTTTTTTATGGTTGCTTCTTTATAATGTCAGAGGTTCTTGAGCATTGGAGAGGTGCTGATGCCGTGTGCTTTGATGTTGATAGCACGGTCTGCCTCGATGAAGGAATTGATGAACTTGCTGAATTTTGTGGAGCAGGCAAGGCTGTTGCAGAATGGACTGCTAGGTTAGTTGCCCATGTCACTGGGAAGGTTGTATATGGTACTTAACTTGATGCTCTGATGGTTCTAAAAAATTGCAATCTCGAATTTTTCCAGAGCTATGGGTGGATCTGTTCCTTTTGAAGAAGCATTAGCTGCCAGACTTTCTTTGTTCAAACCCTCCCTTTGCCAGGTCCAGGATTTTCTTGAGAAAAGACCCCCGAGGTAATCAAAAACTGTATATCAATATGTATATGTTTATTTCGAAGTGCTTGAGTAGTTTGAAAAATCAGAAAAATTCAGTACATGCATGTGGGGATATGAGTGGGAAAGTAGAATACCATTGTTAGAAAGAAAAGGAAAGGAACAAGCAAGATTGGGTTCATTTCCTGATATCCTGTGACTGGTTACAGAAACAGAAATTAGAAGTGCTCCTTTTCTCTTTCATAACCAAATGAACAACCAAAAAAATTTGACTAGAAATCATTCATTTACCTTGAGGATCTGGCTACATATTAGTGCGTTAATTCAGACATTATTTCAAGGGGAATATTATATTTCAATTAGGCCAGTCCCCGTAGCCAAATTTTAACTTGTGTTTGACACATAATGGGATACTGTATATGCATGGCATGTAAAGATACTATGAGCCCTGAGGTTTAAAACAAAAAACTTCTTTCAGTGTCTGCCTTTATACCCATCAAACAACTAAGCATGGTTTAGATCTCTCCTAATGCATCTGATTCCATGTCATAGTTCTCTTTTATCTCTTTTATATCCATATCTTCTTGGAACAGCTACATCATAATAGGACAAAGTTTATAATTGTTGTCAATGGGCCAGGCATTGGATCTGTAGTTACTGCTTTGACTATCAAGTGCGGCATTGTAATTTATGAGAAAAGGATCAAAGTTTTGCTTGTTTTAATTTTGAGTTTAGCCAATAATGTTTCCTTCAACAAAAATTGTCGTATTAACAGTAATATGCGAACTTTGAACCGTTGGCTGTTTTGAAATGGTTCTCGCTGCATTTGTCACTGTTCTGTTTATCTTGGTTTAGCCTTTTTTCTCGTTCTAGTCTCCATAAAAAAAATCATTTTCTCTTATTCTCTTTATATCTTTTTTTTATCCTTGATGCATGATAGCTTGCCGAATGTTCCATGAGCTTTTTACTAAACATGAATTAAATGTCCTGCACCTTGCTTTTCACTTTTTAGAATTTCTCCTGGCATAGAAGAATTGGTCAAGAGAATGAAGGCTAATAACGCCAGTGTCTACCTGATATCTGGAGGCTTTCGTCAGATGATCAATGTATGCTGCTGAACCAAAAGAACTTTATTTTCTGCTTCCAATTGTTATAATCTTTAATCACATTAGGGGCTGAAGATAGCGTCTTCAGTAAGCTGGAATATTTGATGATGGATCCTGTAAAGTTGGCAAATAAAATAATCATTATGTCGTGCTAATATTATGATTGCCGAACCCTCAACTACGATTGAAGTCCGCTGCAGATATGTGGTTCAAGTAGCGAACTCACAAATATGTGGATTTATTTTCTCTGAAAACTTGTTTTCTAGAATTATTAGTGGAACATACTTTGAGTTTCCTTTTTTATTTATTTTTTTGAAGTAGAAAACTATTCTAACAAACGTCACACCTGCACATCTAGTTAGTTCCCTAATGATTTCATATGGTGCATCCTTGAAGGAGTCCAGAAAGTAACGTCTTCAACTAATTGTGACATGGTTAGGTCTAGTTAATTTCTTCATCCTGCTCATAATTGATAGTGATGTTGCTTTACGTGATGCAAAAGGACTTGTGCAGACATATAGGAGGAAGGATCCCCTTAGGTTCAATGCTTAAAAAATGTAGTAGTTATTAATAAAAAACAAAAAGGTTCAAGGATTATAAAATCATGTTACCTTTTTACTTTGAAGCCCGTTGCATCAATCCTTGGAATTCCTCAAGAAAATATTTTTGCCAATCAACTGCTCTTTGGAGACTCTGGAGAGTTTCTGGGTTTTGATGCCAATGAACCTACTTCAAGGAGTGGAGGAAAAGCTACTGCAGTGGAACAAATAAGGAAGGTTAGTACCGATTTTTTATCTTTAATACTCGGCCACTGAATTTGTTGCTATCAGTGCTTATTGAACTTACTTTCCAGGCTCATGGATACAAGGGATTAGTTATGATTGGGGATGGTGCCACTGATTTAGAGGTTAGTAAATTCTTTGTAGTTACTAGTAATAAGATCCAGTTTAGTTCAATTCCTTGTCAGTTCTTTTTATTTAATTGGTAGAATATCCTTTACATGTAAAATGAGATTATTGTTCCAAGTACCAATTAGAATTTTGTCTCAAGAAAATTGAATTTAGGTTTGCTAGAGATTCAAATGTGAAAAGATATGATATCCTTCCAATGTGAAGGATATGCTAGTAAATAAATAGGATTTAAAGCAAATGGACTGCACAAGTTATTGCATGAGTGGCTGGAACCGTTGATGGTCTTTTTTCTCCTTCATTCTGCTTATTAACAATGCTTCCACCCCCTCTCTAACCTCCCCCTAAAAATGGCAAAAGAGAATTAAGTATGCATATATCGAAGAGCTATCCAGTGCCTCATTACTGATAAATAACGGTTCATAGTATTGCCTGTGCATCAAGTGGAGTTGCAATTTTTGAACTTTCAGTCATGTTAGTCCAGGTTCCTACAGTAATCTTTTCACTACTTGAGCATTGGATTCCTATCAACACAATAGTATAAGTAATTCTTCCTTTAATTTCCAAATTCAGGCCCGAAAACCAGGCGGTGCTGACTTATTTATCTGCTATGCGGGTGTTCAGCTTCGAGAAGCTGTTGCAGCAAAAGCTGACTGGGTGGTCTTTACTTTTAAAGACCTGATAAATTCTTTGGAATAGCTTGGATTTTCAAGCTCTGTTTCCGTTCATCTCCATTCATTTTTGTTCTAAAACACATTGAATTTAACCTAGAATGGACTTGCATATCTCATTCTAGGCTTCTGGCTAGCACTAGCAGCTCCCTTCGAGAAGTTCAATATGTACAAAATAGTTATACAAATTGATGGTATTGGGAGGGGTGTATGTATAGTTTCCATATTTGTTGTTCCATCACTTTGTAAGCAAATCTTTCAAAGCTCATCGTTCATTGAGCATTATACTTATTATTTCCTTTTTCTTTCATACCCTTTCTATTGGCTTGTTTTGAGTTGGCAAAATGTATGAATGAAAAGTTTAAAGCGGTCTTGAAAATAACCTTTCGAAGTTTGTTGTCTACAGTTTTATTATGGTACATGGTAAAATATATAGATAGCTGCAAATTGTAATGGGTAATGAGATTATGGAAGCTTTGAGCTATAAATAGAGAAAATATATTTTTCAAATTTAGAATATGCGAGTACAAATTTTCTTATTCTTTGTCTTAATTTAAGTTTCTCTAACCTTTGTAGGGAAAGAACAGAATAATAAGTTGCAGTAGAGTTTCAAATTTGTGACATTTATCTCATGAAAATTTTAATAATTATAATATTTTATAAAAAAAAAAAAAAATCAATTTATTCCTTTATAGTTCTTAAATTTATTTTAATAAATTAATTTCTTGAGCTGTCAGCAGGGTTGTGGGCTCATGGGCCTTTTGCACCCACAACTCCCTCCTTTATAATTATTCCTTTTCAATGGAGTGGAAAATAACTTATTTTAATATTACAATTTATTTTAAATAACTTTTTAGAAAGAAAAAAAAAAAAATATGCCCATCGTAGTAGAAATGATAAAAGCTTTTAATTAAAATAATATTTTAAATTCTTACATATATATTCAAAATTAAAAAATTTTAAATTCTACCATGAATAATATTTTTATAATTAAATCAAAAAATACATAAAGTTTTGTTATTTCCTACCTTTTTTTTTTTTTTTTTTTACATAATTACTTCCTCTATTTCAATCATTTACTATAGTTTTTTTTATAAAAAAAAAAAAA